CATTTAGCTGTGAGATTTACTCAAGTAATTTTTACTTATCAAAAATAAAATACTCTCCCATGAATATTTTAACTGTTCTTCAGATCGACAATGTTTAGTTCTGGGACCTTTTGGGGGCCAATGAGGAGCTGAACTGCATAATTCAATTATATAGTTGTCAATTAGAACAATTTTGATTATTGCTAAATTGCATGTTCTTTCAACAGGTCCTAGCCATTATCATAGGATGCGTGCCAATCCTGAGGCGACAGGTCTTTACTTCTGATGCTCCACTGTACTTCTTCACTGACAGCTGTTTGATTCTTGGGTAAGTTTTACTTCATTGCAGAATCAGTTTTAAGCAACTAAGGTGTTTCCCTCAATAAAAAGATTCCTATTTTATCTCCAGTTACTGTTTGCTGCAAATAGACAAGACATCTCACCTAATGGTCCTGTAACATGATAGCCTAAGAGTTTGCCTAAGAATTTCTTACATCAGTACATAATACATATTCCTTTTTGATAGTTTACATCAGTATATATTCTTACAGAATTGAGGGACATCTGCTTTTATTTTTTCCACTAAAATAAAATGACATGTGATAAGATCAGAGGCGGACCCAGGATTTGAGCAAGACGGGGCCACCATTGTATGCTAATCACCAGCGATTAAAAAAAAAAAAAAAAAAAAAATATATATATATATATATAGAGAGAGAGAGAGAGAGAGAGAAATAGATTTCTTGGCAAAATGGGTGCTATGGGAAGAGAAGGAATAAAATTAATTAAGTTGACTATTGTGTATTAGTACTAACTATAAATGAAATAAAAAAAAAAGCATCTTGTTATTAAATATAAATTATATTGTATCCGAAGAACTAAAATATTAATAAAGTTGACTATTATATATTAGTACTAATTTATAATTGAATTCAAAAAAAAAAAAGATAAAGTAAAAGATAAAGCAATTTGCTATTGAATATAAATTACGTTGTACTCACAGAAGGAGGAGAAAAAAGCTGAAGGGGAGTTTCGAACCTATGTCCTCAACAAAGTTGGGAATTTAAGGGCCCAAAGCAACCACTTCTCCCATACATCTCTTTGTTTTAGGGGGCACACTTAAAATATTTAAGGGGTCCCATATATATGTACAAATATATATTATATGTATATACAACGTTTTTACCGAGGCTAACGGGGTCACGTGACCCCTCAACCCACCACATAGGTCCGTCTCTGGATAAGATTATTCTTCGGGTCCAGTCGTGGAAATGCTGTTTTATGTAAATGTCAATAAAACCTCTGAACGGTTGTTATATTTCTTGTTACCAGGGATGCCATGATTCCCTGCATATTGTTGGCTTTAGGAGGCAATCTTGTTGATGGTCAGTAACTATTCTTTATTTCCTTTTTTCAAAATAATTTTTCTGTTCCTCCTCTAGTTTGTGATAAGAGTTCCATGTCATTCAATAGTTTTCCAAGGATGTTTGAATTCTGATGTTCCGAGGCGCTCTTATTTATTGCTTGATATTTGAATATCTTCTGCAGGACCAGGACCCGGTAGTTCAAAACTTGGTCTAAGGACAACCGCTGCAATTGTCTTTGGACGGCTGGTTTTGGTTCCTCCAACTGGACTTGGCATTGTCATGTTAGCTGATAAGCTTGGATTCCTTCCCGCTGGTGACAAAATGTTCAGATTCGTACTCCTCCTTCAGCATACGATGCCTACATCCGTACTTTCTGGTAAAATACATTCCTTTTACAGTAGTTCTGAAACATGTTACATGCATGCGCGATGGTCTCTGACTCCTGTGTATTTGTGTTTAATTAACTTTTACTCTGTGCAGGTGCTGTTGCCAACTTGAGAGGATGTGGGAAGGAGGCAGCGGCGGTATTATTTTGGGTTCATATTTTTGCTATTTTCTCTATGGCTGGATGGATCATCCTCTACCTCAACATACTGTTTTAAGTTAGGATCAAACAGCATTGCTACAAAGAGTAAAAAGAAGAGATCTTGAGATGGAAAGTTTTTATTCCTGTTACCAGGATCGCGCCAGCCTTTCGAAAAGCAGCTGTTTTTAGCTCATTCAATTGCCTCATCATTGTTTGAGATTAAGAGAGAGATGTATTGATATTATGTAGGAATATTACCTAATAAATCTATAAGTATAATTAGTCATGATGGAGCTAACTAATTGCTCCTTATTTGTTATTGGCTTCTTCTACTGTATAACCTTAGCTTATGCTACCTTGAAACTGGCTATGTCAAAGATGGACTTGGCATTTGGCAAAGACAAAGATGACACTTGATGTTCATTTGAGAAAATAAGTAATCAGGAATTATTTGTGGTATTTGTTGTCAGGATGCAATAACATGGGTTAGTTACTATATCTTAAGAAATGGAGTAAATAAATACACTATCGTTTGCCCCCAAAATGCAAGATCAAATTTGGAGTTTGAGATTACTATAAGGGGTCAATTGGTTGGGACATAAGTTATCCTAGGATTAATTATCCCGGCATTGTTATCCCATCCTCACAGGGATAAACATAACACTATAATCCCGGGATAATTAATTCCGGGATTAGTTATACCACGATTTTACCCCAGCGAAACGTGCGATAAACTCATCTCAAATTTAGTTTCAGAATTAATTATCCCTTATCCGTCATACCAAACCAGCCGTCTATAACTTTAAAAGGACCTAATAATTTCAAAAATATATTATTTTCACATATTCTTACAATAAAAGATAAGATAAAATAGAGGTTGGGTCATGTTAGTTGACCTAGCCCTACTTGATCCAAGCAAACTTTGGACGGTTTGAATTATGATTTAGCTATTGATTTGATTCGTCCAACTTTAACCCAATCCGCCCAATTAATTGTCTACCTCTAAGTAATAGCACCCTCCAAAATAAAGAAAAATTAAGAATAAATTAATTCTCTGATCTTTAATGCTGAATAGTGTCTAACTTAAAAGGAGGAAAGTTAGTTAAAGACGTTATATGGCCTTTTTCCCGCACATTCACTCTCCCCATCACCCGCCATTCTTTTCTGTAATATCCATAATCCAATCTTCGCATTAATTTGGTGGTGGAGCTGGCGATCTTGGCCCTGCCTCTGGCGGTGCTGTTTCTGTTCTACTTCTTTTTCTTGATTTGAATATTCGCCTAAACAAGTAAAATAAAATGGCATACAGAAGGAAGCAGGGGATGAGCAGATCATCCACTTTCCAGGAAGAGACCATTTTCCGATCCCCTGCGGACCCGAAGCCGCAGGGGATCAGCAGATCATCCACATTTCAGGAAGATAGCATTTTTCGTGCTTCCTCTGGAGATCCTTTTTCTTCTTCGTCTCTCGCGGCTCAGGCCATCAGAGCCTCAGCCGCTTATCGCGATCAATCTCAGGTCCTTTTCTTCTCCTTCATTCCAATATAATTGTCAAGCTCCGTTTTGCCAATTATATGCATGCATTGCCCAATACAGTGGCGGAGCCACATGTATTCACGGGGTGTCAACATCCCTTCATCGAAAAATTATACACTGTAGCTACGTTAATTTTTTTTTTTAAATGTGTATATGTACTACATATTGACACCCTTTGGCTTCGTCGTGGATTTACTATTTTATATTCTGACCCCCTTAGTGAAAATCCTAGCTCCGCCGCTAGTCTTGTATATGATCTCCAATTTCTCTGGCTTTTGTGACTCATCCCTTTTCACATGTCAATTCTTCTCTATTTATTGCTTTATATTTCTGATAGCAAAATTTATGAATAAAAATTGATTCTTAATATCAAGAATTTAAACTTTACATGAAATCACATTAATCAGTAGGGACTCTCATTATGGCACATCTGATATGTTGTATTAAAGGGTACAACAGAAATATTTCTTGCTGAGCAATATATTCCAATCATGAGCCTTGGCGTAATTGGTAAAGTTGTTGTCATGTGACTAGGAGGTCACAGGTTCAAGGCGTGAAAACAGACTCTTGCAGAAATGCAGGGTAAGGCCGCGTACAATAGATCCTTGTGGTCCGGCCCTTCCCCGAACCCCGCCCATAGCGCGAGCTTAGTGCGTTGGGCTGCCTAAATTAACTGGGAAATACATTTCCATCATGAGCCTTGGCGCCATTGGTAAAGTTACTGTCATGTGACTAGGAGGTCACGGGTTCAAGCCGTGGAAACAGTCTCTTGCAGAAACGCAGGGTAAGGCTGCGTACAATAGACCCTTGTGGTCCGGCCTTTCCCTGGACCCCACGCATAGGGAAAGCTTACTGCACCGGGCTGCCCTGTATGCACCGTTGAATAAATACATCGGCTCTAATTAATTGGTGACACTTGTACTTGCCATCAAAATCAGGCAGCTGCAGCTCTTTCCAATGGTTATACATCATTTACGCCGAGTGCAAATGAGGGAGGTGGTTTATGGGGAGTTGTAGCTAGGAAAGGCAAAGAAATTCTTGAAGATGGTAATCATATCTCCCACCTGCAATATGAAGCTCCCAACAGCAGCATCCGAAAAGAAAGCCAGGTGATAATTTATAGCCCTCTCCTTTCTTCTCATAATACATGCACAATTCCTCATTTTAAGTGTCTATATATCTGTAGTGGTAGATGACAGTTAATCCTTTTGTACATGATCCGAGCCCTTACCATCGCACAAGTCTTATAACTGACCTGATTGTGCAAATATTTTTTACATTATCAATCGATAGAACTTAAACTCTAGGTGGATAAGGTAGTGAACTAACGGTAACAAAGAGGATCATGACTGATCTATGAAAAAATGGACTGACTGAAGTTGATTTTCACCAGAGTATTTTATAGTTTCTCGGGTTTCCCTGATCAGGTACATGCCCTGCTTCAACATAATTTTTTCTTGAATTTCAGGGAGGAAGTACAATTGCTGAGACATCGCAAGATCATGTGTCGAGTGTACGAAGCCCATGGCAGATGCAAACGACTCGGCCACAAACACAAACAACGAGTCATGAAGATCAACTAAAGGATTCTCGCGACGTAAGGTGGCAACTTGCGTGATATATGATGTATTTATGGTTCATGTATTAAGTATCTGAATATAAGTTTTTAACACTAACAAACCGGCCATTTGAGATCTTAAGTAACTGTAGCAGCTAAACATGAAAACAACGTATTTTTCTTTTGGCAAGTACCAGCATGATTTATATTATTTGCATAGTTTTACTATGATGTTCGTGTTATCTACTTGCTGGGGAAAGAAATGCATTATTTGGTCTGTCATTTTGGTTGCAGGTGGCAATGGCAACTGCAGCAAAAGCCAAACTACTACTACGAGAGTTAAAGACTGTTAAAGCAGATCTTGCGTTTGCGAAGCAACGTTGCTCTCAGCTAGAAGAAGAAAATAAAATACTTCGCGAGGCTCGGGAGAAGGGAGACAATCCTGCAGATGATGACATGGTAATTTTTCACCTATTAGTACATATTTTGTTCTTCTTTCCCCTTAGTAAGCCTTCATTCTATGGTACAAAAGTATAAAACTTGCAGAACATTAGTGAAATTCAACCTGTTAGCACACATGGTATATTAGAAAGCAAGAATATACATAGTTGACATGTAAGTTTTTTTTCTGTATTTTACTGACTAGTCCACTTCAGGTACAGTGTGTCAACAAACCAGACTATTATTTCTGACCACTATATAATCTATAATTTACCCTTATGGGGTTTGATGTTCATGGCATTTAGCAGAAGTACAAGTGCTAAATCAGAAAGGGAGCCTTGCCGTAACTGGTAAAGTTGTTGCCATGTGACCAGGAGGTCACGGGTTCGAGCTGTGGAAACAGCCTCTTGCAGAAATGCAGGGTAGTCTGGTCCTTCCCCGGACCGCGCATAACGGAAGCTTATTGCACCAGGCTGCCCTTTACCCTTATGGGATTTGATGTCCATGGGATTTAGCAGAAGTACAAGTGCTAAATCTTCTTGATGTTGTTGTCTAAATCAACTCTAAAGATTGAATTGTTTCCTATTTACTGCGATTATTTCAGATACGGCTTCAACTAGAGACGCTATTAGCAGAGAAGGCTCGACTAGCACACGAGAATTCAGTGTATGCGCGTGAGAATCTCATATTAAGAGAGATTGTAGAGTACCATCAACTGACAATGCAGGATGTTGTGTATTTGGATGAAGGCTTTGAAGAAGTTACTGAAGTTTCTCAAATACCTGCAGTTTCAAGAATGCTTTCTGCTTCCCCTCCTTTATCCCCTAAATCCATGCATTCACCATCTAGATCCTCCTCTCTCACAAAGGAAACTGCTCTTGGTTCACAAGTAAAACCAAATCATCAAAACAATGAAAATTCATCAAGTTCCAACATTTCAACTTCAACTTCCAAGGGGAAAGATTTATCAAGAAAATGATCAACTCTTGTTTAACTGCCAATCTTGATTTTCTGATTTTATCAATAATTAATATTTGTCAAGTATTATTCCATTTTTTGTTTGGGATATGGTTGGTATGAAGGTGAACTAAGAGGAATTTTCCAATGAGGTGTCTTGTATTTGTGGTGCTTCTTTTCTTGATTGGTTCATTCTTTTTCTTGTATTAACGGCAATGTTGCGTGGACTCTACAAAATACTGTCGTTCGGTAACGGATCCTCCAAAAATATACTACTTTTAAAGGATCCAACACGCACCTAACGGCATTTTCGGAGAGTCCGAGCAACATAGATTAATGGATGTGTATTATTTGGTTTTTCTGCTCAGCATAGAGAAGCCAGCTCAATACTCCCTACTTGAATTTGATTGTTGCTTTGCCTCTTTCAATTTGTTTACTCTTTTCATCTTTTCTTATAGAGATGTTAAATGGAAAGAGCTTAAGATAAATGAAAAATAGTTGTCTCTGACTCAAAAGATAAATGACTACTACTTATGTTGCCAATAAGTCTTGTCAATGAACTTAAGAAATAAATGGTCTATGAAACCATGGACTCCTAATAAACTAAAATAAGGAAATATATTGTTTAGAATTATCGAACTTACTCCAGGAAACAAAAGTTAGGGAAAACTATATAATTATGTTAACAAGAGATATTATTAGATAGCACGCTGATATAATTCTCTAAATTCAACTATATCTAAAACAATTTAACTAACTATAGTGATAAATTATAGGGATAATTTTAAAGATCTCCCTCTAGGTTTCGCTTCATAACACTAGTCTCCCTTGTGCATTGAATAAAAATCATAGCAAGAATTTTGATGTAGACTCCAGCCATGGCATATTAAACTTCAACCGCATTATTGTATAAAGCGAGTGCACCGGAAAAGAACGGGAACTTGATTGGTTAATCTTGTCTTCTTAAA